GGAGCAAAGACCTGTCGAAATTCAGCAGAGTAATATTTCTGGAAAACAAGAAAACTACACAGAGAAAGTGTATAGTATATGTCAAAAGATGTTTCTTTTCCATTCAACATAGTATGTCGAAGAAACAGGCGGAGATTCTGCAGTTTTTTGTATTACAAAACAAAACATTGTAAAACAAAAGATTCCAAATATACCATAAGTTTTATTCATCGAACGGATTCGATTAAAACTTGACAATGCTTAGCAGATTGAGAGGATGCATGAAAGTTTTTCGACATGTTTGAAACGTATAACTACCATAGTTATCAGGAGACTTACATATATTATTAAGGAATCACAGCGAAGTTTTTCTCTGAAGCTTTTCGAAAATTGGTTTTCATGAATCTGCTAATTAATAATGAAGATCTATAGTTCGTATGACATTCGACGTAAGACATTTCGAGATTATATTAACGATAAAAACATATTGAAAACGAAAAAAATTGTTTTTCATGAGTCGGTCAAGGAGAATGTCCTAATTTGAACTACAACTCATAGAATAGCATATCAGGTTTATCAAATTAGCACCCAGCCATAATGGCTGTGCTTGCGAGTAACTTTGTGAAATTTTTTAAAGCCTATAAACTTGAAAATTGTTTGTTTTTCTCTCATGATGATATATGTTATTAAGTTACGATTCGATATCTTTTTTCTGCAATTAGATTTTATGTAAGTTCCTGAAGTTGTATGTGCGGAGTTTCACTATGATCGATTTTTCAAACTAGTCTTTTTGTATGGAACTATTCTTCATTTGTGAACTAATGGAATATTTCCATGTAACGGTGAATATTATGGCAAAAACTGTTGGTAGGATTCGGTGAATTATACGGATTCAAGCTAAAACCATTTTCACATGATACAGAACGTGAATGAACCACTCAGCAATTTCTACAAAGACAGTTCTTTTGTTGTTTTGTCAGTCTCTGTTATGGAGTTGCATGTTCAGTATAAAATACTTTTGAAAAGTGTACTAAGAGTCTTTTTCTAGAGTGAAAATGTTGCATCTAATTAGCATTTAGAATGCGAACCAATTTACAAGTGAAGAACTAATATCGAATAGTATAATTTCAATTTATTTGATTCTACTAATCACTATGTGTCAATTTATTTCTATTATAACGAATATTATGATATATCTTGCTATTTGTTGATATCGGTCGATGGCTCGTTTAAATATATTAACAAACCCATATCGGCAAATCAACTTCTATAATACAGATTCACTAAATAAATGAATCACTTACTCTTAAGTCCCAGTTATTTCGATGTAGAATCTTTTTAGACTCTTCGTCATTGCACTGTGTTACATACTAAAAGCAATAAGATAATATAGTAAAATTAAGTGTTACATTAATTTTGAACATTACTTGAAAGAAAAAACGAATTTGCTCAAGTAGTTCCATCATTAATATTTTTTTTGCACTTACTCAAAAAATTTAATGAACTAGAAAGAAAGAAATAAGATTATGATACTTTATTCTATGTAATAATAACAGTTGAACAAATGATAGGATCGGTTTTCTGTTTCAAATTTTCAACAAACAAACTTCTGATAATCTACTGTAACTCATAAAATAGAATTCTCAAGGATAAGATATATATATATATACTATGTAAGCCAGTACGATAAACATGCCTGAAAAGAACGTTAATCTTGTAACTTTGAAAAAACTTGCGAGCATTCATATCTCATTCACAGTTGCATTAGCAAAACTTCGAGACTCCTGTCTGATGTGGACTCAAAAGAAACAACGAAAAGCATGATTGAGTGTTGTTGAATAACCGATAGAGAAGTACAGATCAAGTTTTTTCATACGTTGGACTCTGACTGAGAAAAATATTCCTCTCTTATGTTACTCTATCATGCAACATTCCTGCTCTACGTTTCAAAATTGTTACACTTTTACTCCTACCCTACTCCGTACAATATCCAATCAGTGAAACAGAATCGAAAAAAGCAGCATGTTTACGCATTAAAACGTGCACTGTTTACTTTAAAACAACTATTTTTTGAATAATAAGCCAGTATTAAGTCAACAATGTCAACAAATTTGCTTTTTACCGAAATAAAAATCGCTTTAGTTCTCTTTTTTTAACGTAAAAAATGAATATTTTGACAAGTTGAAATGAACCGTTGTCCGACTGATTGACTAGTCTTACTTTATGCTGCGAAGTTATTATCTCAGTCTATGATTTAAGCATCTTAATTGGAAGACTCTAAAAGTGGTCAATAGCACAAAAAAGTATTATGGTAGAAGTGTTCAGGGTAATTTTGTTTCGTACTGGGTGTGGGTGTAGATGAGGGTGAGTGTTAGTATGTGCATGATTGTAGGTGATGATGTGAGTGTGACCGTTTTAGGGTCTAGAAGACACGATAAACGACCACAACCACACCCACACTTGCAGCAACCACTCTTACACACATCTACAGCCGCGCAGACCACGCTCACACACCTAAGTAAATATAAGTAGACAGAAAAAATATATTCTGTGCGCAAATGTCGCGCATGAAAATATGGTACGCAGAAATTTGATCAATCCACGATAGAATCGCATACATCTCAATAGTGTAAGAACTTTACCTTGTTTGTATTGGAGCGGTTAAAGAGACGTTCGACGTTTCGAGTGAATATATAGTTATTTCAACCAATGCTTTTAATGACTAGTGGGAGCATACAGATTGGAGTAATCCAATGTTAAGAGTTTTCCTGTCTGATTTTTGCATTACTTAATGACAAACATATTGCATGTGTCATAGAGATGTTGCAGAGTGTAACTTGTATGGATGTAATTACCAAGTTGCAAATCGTCAAAGATGACTCATGAAAGGTATGTGTACAATAGAGAAAAGAAAAAACACTACGAAATTGAAAGCGTTGGGGAAAACGTGACACGATACTTCCGTGCATGACTTTACAACACCGACATTTTCGTGCGCAGTATTTTGGCGTTGACAATAACGTCCAAAATGATTTCTTTTCTGTTCTATTTATTTTAAGTCAGTCATGCTCTCAAACTTGAAATAACTGTTCTGCTTCAATATTATTGTACTCAATAAACTCATTAGTGTGGATAAAAGAAAGAAAGTATAACTCTCGGTGTAAGTTTGTGTTGCCACCAGAGACCGAAACGAACCGAACTATTCAGATTCGAGTTCGGTTCAGTTCGAGTGAGTTTTCGGGAAGTTGGTTCGGGTTCGGTTTAGTCCAACTTGTTTTTTCAAAATTATCGGTTCGGATTCGACTCGGTTCGTTTTCAATCTCTGGTTGCCATCGATAGAGCTTTTCCCTTACCGGTATTGGTGCCGGTCTGAAATGGTCAGACGGAAAACGGAGCGACTGGCAGACCCCTTGAGTCATTTTACAGATTTCTCATGTCGTATGATTCATACTAGCCTCTTGATTAGTCGTATGCGTCTCGGAATTATTACGGAAATTGCGTAAACCTTCTATCTTATTATATCGGCGTTTTTGTAAAGTATGATTATGAATTGGTTCATTTTCTCCGACGACGATTTTCGCCAATTCCAATATCGCCGAATGAATTTATAATTAAAAAGAATCTGGATCAAATGTAAACCATTCTATATATAATGTTTTATTAAAATTAATTAGTGTATTATCAGATCGACTGATTACCATCTCAGTGGATTACCACATCAAGTGTGGGTGTAAGCATCTGTATGATGAGGAAAAATCCACATTCACATTCACATCCACATATTATATAGGATCAAATTTCACGAATATGCCAGATATAACTTTATATTGGCTCTTTATGTCTATGTATATTTTCAGATTTCGTTAGCAAAACGCTTAAGACAATTTTTGACATAATAGTTATGATCTATAGCTTTGTGTTTATCAGCATTATCTATAAGAATAGAATCATTTGATTGAACGTGTGGGTGTTGCTGTCAGAAGTTCGACATCGACATTCACAGTCAGTGTTTCATCCGAATTTTATCTGTCGGACGGAAGATTTAAAACTGCAAGTGGCTGAACACCTGTTTTTGCGAGTACAAACACAGAGTCCATGAAAGACTCGCGAAGTTCTGGATAGCCAACTAGGTCTATGGAAGGGTATACCACTTCCTCGGCCCCATCGTTGGATAAAATACTGCCCACAACCTGAAACGATCAGTGAAAAAACTTTCACAAAATGGAATGTAGTAAAACGTTTTGGGATAATTTGAATCACTGTGGTTGACCATCCATGCAGGTGCTCTACCAAAAGGTAGTTGTAGTCGTATGGGTTTCTTGGGAATTCTCTGTGTAAGAACTTTCGAGAGGCCCCTATAAAAATTCAGAGAAGCTAAATGAGCTAAAGATAACTCAAAGATTACAAATAAATTCTCTGACAAACTGAGACATTCAATTAGATGAAAATAATTTTAGAAGGTATTACTAAATTTTTTCTGTATGAATACAAACTTCGGACTTTTCTCTATCATTAGGAAGAAAACTAACTCATCCGATCAAAACGCAACAAAAATATACTATTCTTGTTTTGCTAGACCATTTCTTGAACACTTGATAGATATGTATATTCACTCTTATAATAATAATATCTTCAAAAATTGCCCCTAAAGTTCTACGATCTCTAGTGATGTTGCTTTCTTTTAAGATTTTTTTCAACTAGTACGTACACTAGTGACATTTCGACACTATTCTGAGTCATGGTTTAATACATCAACATCTTATTACATATTGCGACAGTCAAACTATGCATTTTTTTCTTTGTGTTTGTTTAACTAGACGTTAATAAATATGATTTTTTCTATAAAGTAAATTGTCAAGCATCCGACAATGGGTCATATAACAAAATAGAATTGAATTTCTGTGATGCAATTAGTTCAGCGTTATCATGCTCATTATTTAATGATGATTGATTGATTAGTTTTTGAACAAGAATTGTACTTTTCTATTATTGTCTGTTATGTACGTATATATGTAGTGCATCTAAATAATTTCTAGGTTTATATGTTCCAATCCATATTGACATTTGTTCACTTCAAATAATTGTTCAATTGGTTGAATATATTCATTATGAAGTTGATCTATATCAGTAGCAGTTGGATCAACAATTTTATTGACATGAATTGGTTTTCCAACTGAAAATATATTATTCATCTTTTAATGAATGTTATTATTTTCCTACCAACAGTAATCACCGGATGTCGGAATGGAATATGTCCAACAATAGATCGGCCACAAGGAATTCCGTTTGGTATCAAATTAAAACAAGTTCGTCTTTCATAAAGTTCATTTTCTCCAAATGAAATAACAGGTACTAATGAAGCACTAAAATAAAGTTGAGAAGAAAAGCAATTACTTGTTAATGATTTCAAAAGTATAACACTTACCCATGTTTTAATGCTAATTTGACAAAACCTTTTCTTCTCTTAATATAAAATATCATAGTATCATTTCTTGTTGCATGCATTTCAGGAACACCACCCAGAACAATAACTAATGCATTCCCTTGACCACACTTACCACTAAGTAAATATTCACAACTCCTCCTTGATACACAACATGCACCTAAAAAAATAGGCAATATTTATAGCCAATCGATAGTGTCAAAAAAAAAGAAGTTCACCTAGATTGAGGAAAAGATCACGTGTACATGGAAATAGAAACTGAAGACGAAGAAGCATTAAATGTGGACGTATATTTGGAAATAGAATAGAAAAGTGTGTAGCATCTGTAGCAAAATTACCGAAAGCACTCAAAGAAAATGCTCCATGCGGATGATATCCAAATATATAATTTCGATTTGGATCAAGATCTTCACTTTTAATTAATTTAAGAGGAAAATAATTTGCAAATTGTTTCCATATGCATAATCGACGAAATCGATTAGACCATCGACCTCCTTTTGAATCAGTACGATAGTCAAAAAGAAGCCAACAACCATATACTAGACAAATACCAAGAATGATAAATAAATACCAAAATTGTTTGAATACACAAAGAAAAATAATTGGAATAAGGATAAATAGAAATGTAATAATAGGTAAAAACAAGAAGATAGTAATTAGAATAGTAATTACTAATAATTGAATAATTTGTGCACAAACCATATTCTAAAAACAAACCAATATCTTCAGGTTTTATAAGGAAGATAAAAAACGCGACTTGTAGCACTGAGTCTAACAAGTATGCAGAAACCTGCAACTGTCATATGAAAGAGAATAAAAACAAAATAAAAAAATAAGGTTTTTTTCTTCAAGAAACAGATGCTCTAGTGTAAACTAAACCATGTAAATGAATAGCTAATACTTATGTTTGATTCTTCGTGTTTCTTTTGAGTGCTTGTGTTTTGTCATTAAATAAGTTGAGTCTGTTAATTAATAACTAGCTTTTACCATACGAGATATATAACTCATATCAAACAATAATCACTTATATTCTACAACAAAAAATATTTATAAAACTTTCATCATTCTCCAGAAAAAAGTCGACACGATTAACTATATTGTCAGAGAGATTATTAAAATACCAATAAGAATCAGCCAACAAGATCGACCATACTACATGCATGTTTTGCCGTACTTTCTGGTTAAATAGAAGAAAAGAAAAAAAAAACTTCTCCCCTTTTTTCTGTGGACGCCATGAATCAAAATAAAGAGTAAAGAAAGTAAGATGTGTATTATGGTAAAAGTCTTCTTTGCTGCCACATGCTGTCATGATCTTAATATGATTGATGGTTTATTATGCCACATATAGAAATGCGTTAGAAAGAGGAATGATCAAATATTTTCTACCATGTTCAAGCTAATTTCAAAGTCATCAAAAAAACTTTTCTCATAAAAGATTCACTTGAAGCTACTTTGACGCTTTTGAAGACATCAGATCCATGTATATAAAGGTAAAGTTACGGTGAAATTCTCATCCTGTCCTTTGATAATATCCAAAGTAAATGTGGATGTAGTATAAGATATAATGATCACCAAAATCCTCACCTAAAACTCATATCATTTCTATGGTTTAATTTTAAATTTTTTTAATGACTCTTCTTATTTTTTTTGTTATGATAATCATGAGGTTTTATAGACCACTCACAGAATTATGCAACAACTGGTAAAAGAAGCCGATATTTTGTAGACTATACATAGACAGTTCATATAAAAGATTATAGAGTCACACCTGAACGTTTCACAACCTTGGAGCTTTGCAAAATGATGCTCAGAGAAGTTAGCTTTCGAGTAAGAACATCACCAGAAATTAAGACTATCGAATAGAGTTTGAAGTATTTTCCACTCGATCGATATTTATATAGACAATAGCTTAGATTTTGTATATAAAAGTATTCTCGATTTCAAAGAATTATTTGATCTAGTTTCGATGACTAATTCATGTTGAATGAAGTCCTTCAAGTATCTAGAATTCAACACTGAAATGCTCGTCAATTTAAGTAATTTCATTAAATATATAATTGCGTTAGATAGACTTTAACAAATCCAATCGATTGAATCAAATTCTTATGCTCTGTAATTCTAAGTTTGAACAATTTGTAGACATTCAGGGTTATCTGGATAAGATTGACTAATGTATTTGAAACAGCTGTAAGCGGTGAATTTTGTCTTTTTCGAGAATAATCGTTTTAATCATGTGTACAAATAAAGAGATGGTTTCGAAGTTTTTCGTAGGTTCATTTTTTTAAATAACGTTAATACGTACCAAAAATTATCAATGCTACAACGATATCGAGTCATTTCGGTATTAATGTTTTTAACGTCGGTCAATAAATCTGTCATCTTTCAATAAGTTATAGTTTGATCACAATGAGTAGAATAAGTACAATCACAAAAAATCTAGACTGTATGAAATTGAGAAAATTTATAAGTTAAGTCAATAAGTGACTTTTTTACGATCAGTCAAAAAGAATCAAGGATGTTCCTTCATCTTCAAACTTAGCAATGTAATCCAAATATGCATCAACATTATGACATAGTTTGACATCATTTATAATACATAACAGTTTTTTAATATGTTGTTCAATTTTATCTTCTTCGTACATGTAAAACTAAATCAAAACGAAATTTGTCAAATTACATCATTCCATAATGGATCAGATGTGAAATGTGCTCGAAATTATTTCTTCCTTTTTTTCGAAAATACATTCAAACAAAACAACAAACATTTTTTTCTTTATATATATAACATATGTTTTAAACAATGTTTTTTCTGGTTTAGACGTTTTATTCTTTCAATATTTCTATGACTAACTCCTGGACCTACTTCATTACAACGAAAGAATAGTGTTCAGAATCTATTCTATTTGAAGTAATGTTGGAGGTTTTAAAATCGAAAAATTCGAGAATTGATGTCAATTAAGTCATGAATAGAAAAACGGCACGTTTCGACCTCAATATTTATTGAAGAATAATGCTTACCTTCTTTTGACTATAAATGATCAATATCTTTCAGAAAGATCAACAATTTCATGTAAGACAAACAGCATTCTATTGCTGCCATTCTTTCAACATAATACAAGCGAGCTCTATATGTTTTATAGTTACTGAGAAAGAATAATACGTGACCCAGTCTATTGATTTCTAGACAATCTTAAAGAGTGCTGAAACCTGTTATTGTTGATACTATATAATCGTATTGATCTATCTATGCTTGGCGTAGTATGTTGAAATGCTTTTTTCTTCGATCATTGAAAATATCTCAATTAGTATCAAATAAGAATTGAGGATCATACATCATCGATTCAGTAATGTTTTTGGAACTGTAGAAATATGCTACCTCGATTTTCTTTCTTTGAGAACAATTATCTTGTTTTCCATCAAATCTTCTAAGTTTTCTTTAACGTGAGAAAAGATGAGTTATCACCGTATTTTAACACTATTCTAATAGAATATTTTATAAAGGAAAATAAATCATATACATTGACTATTATAGAAGAGTAAATGTGATTTGTTAAGCTATTTACTATAGTAGCAAAAATTTATTAATATGAAAAATTATGAAAAACAATGTGTTAACATGGCACGGAAAAGCATAAAAAATAAAGCCAAACAAGAAAACAAATAACAATAAAACCGAGGATAGATTGCATTAAACGTACAATGAATAGAACTATGTAATACTCGGAAAATAAAGAAAATCCATGCAGCAACAACATATGGTGTATCAACTTGCTGCGTTATAAATAAGTAGATTGAAAGCGCATAAAACAATACAGGCATTTCAAATAAATTTTTTAGATTATCTGATGGATTTGATATAGCAGGAGGCGAAATTCGTGCTAGTTCACCAGGACGCATAAGTTGTTCTGGTCGAATATTTTTCGATTGAAGAAAATGAATACGTCGAATGAACAAATACACCCAAACAATAGTTGTCAGTAACATTGTAGCAAAAAATGGTCCAAAAATCCGAAGTTGTTGTTTTTCTTGAAAATTCTCTTGTACCATCTTTAACAATAATTGTTAAATTATATAAAGTCAGTAGAAAACAATCTAAGATAGGAACAAATGCATAATGAATATTTACAAAATAAGAAAGTAAGTAAGAAAGAATGGAATAGCATTGCCAATGAAGTCAATGGTAGATGGCGTTCATATTAAGTAAATGTATATATAAGGTTTCTTATTTGGCCGAAGTTGAAACTCTATTATTTATACATTCTTATTTATCTTTATTGAAAGAAATACAATCGATTAATGCTATATGCACTGTGCAATTGGAAGACTTATCGTATGGATGAATATAATTTTAAATGCAAAAACACTTGATTTTTATAATTAAATAAAAACTAAAAACTTATCAATTCACATACTAAAAAAATCACCATAAATTACAATATTTTAATGAGCATCAATGTGTATACATAGAAAACAAAAAAAAACTGAGAAATAATGAGATCATTAAGAAAGACACAACACACATTTAGCCAAAAAAAAGGCTTTGGTGTGCTGAATTAAAAAATAAACAACAAAAAATAAACAAATAAACAGAATAAAATTAAAGCTCATTGATCTTAATTCATTTGACATGTTTAATAAATCGAGCAATACGTCGTTGGTTTTCGATTAATTGTCCTGATTTATTTGATGCTAGTATATTTCCATTTCGACGTTGCTTTTGCTGTTGTTGTTGTTGCTGAATAGGTGGAAGCGCGTTATAACGATATGGAATATTTTTTGATGTAGACATTGGTCTAGCGATAGAATCAGCAACATTACCAGAAACACTATTATCACGTTTTGTTGGTTCAGATTGAATACACGAAGGAATTTTATTAGGATGATAATTTTGAGAATATGAAAGAGGTTCAGATACACGTTTTTCAAGTTCTTCAAAAGCAACTGGTGGTGAATGAAGTGATCGAGATACTGTTCCATTAAGAACACCTATTTGAAAGTAAAAATATTTTAGAACAAAACAAAAAGACATATTTTATATATCCTAAACCGTTTTTCTTCATTGCAAGTAATTGTTGACGTGCATCAATAAGTGCATCTTTTAATTGTTCACGTTCTGTACATTCTTTATGCACTGTTTCTTGTAAAGTTATCATCTAAATAGAAAAACCATTGTTTCATAAAATATTTCTTCAAATTTTTAGCGCTTTTAGAATTACTGAAAAAGAAAATAACTAGAATGAGAAATTTTATTCATTTTCGTCGTATTTCTTCAGAATATTTCAATGAAGTTACGCGGAAGTTTCTTCAGCTGTCTCCTTCTGATTTTGATGCTTTTGTTTTGCTGCATCATGTTCTAATAAAAATCCTACAAGGATTTAGGTTCTCATTATTATTGGGACAAGCTATCGAATTTTTGTATGTCCGTTTTGTCGAGGTTCAGAATGGTTTTCACAAAACTTCTATTTTTTGAATTTGGATCTGAAACTTTGCGTGTATAGAGGACTCAACTAGGCCAGGGTTCATAAAAAAATTCGCAAGTTTTGAACGAAATCTCTTCGAGATATGAAGATTTCAAAAAATGCATGTTGTATACACTATTTATGGAGAAAGGTCTACAAGGTATCATATCTTAGAGACACTGTTCAAACCTTTTACGATTTTTGTATGGAAGCTAGTCAAGTTGAGTTCTCTGTATACATAAAGTTTCACATCATAAACCAAAAATACGAGTCTTCCAAACACTTGAGGGCCTATCGATGTTTCTAAAAGATGGACATATTATACAGCTGATAGTTTAGTCAAATATAAATAGAAACCCGAATTCTTTTAGCATTTCTATTAAAACACTATGCAACTAAAAACAATAGCAATCGAAATGCGACATCTAAGGAAGTTTTCTCGTTAGTTTTGTACGTATACAAAAGCTGGTCCAAACTAAACTTAGAAGTGTTTTTATAGATAAATTTTTAAAATGAAATTTTCTCTACAAAAAAAAACAGTATTTGTTTCTTTTTATGGTTTGTTTAAGAAAAACATAATTTGAAAAATGATCAAGAATTTTGATCTTTTAGAGTTCTTCCTTACAAGGAAATATTCACAGCTATCAGATGCTGATTGACTCATATTTGACTTATAAGTACGATTCGATGAAACTATAGAAGTTTGAACGATTTCGAATCCATGCCTTACTCTATTAGAGAAGTAACTGTGATATTAGAGCTTTTCATCTGTATGCCAGATATTCATGAAAATCAGAATGGTTAAGTCTTCATCTAATTTGTTATGAGACAATAAGTGTGTAAGCAATAGCAAAATCTTATAAGTACAGCAGTAACATCGACTGATCAATAACATTGAATATTTCAAGAAAAATATATTCATATAGCATGAAAATTTTCGAATATTCTAGTGATTCTAAGGCCTATTTATACATAAAAATTTTAGTAATCACACTCAATCGTATTTAAGAGTCAAATATGAATTTGGTCGATGTCGAATCATTTCGAATGTTTCCTCGTTAGCATAATTCATAGTTTTGTGAGCAATGAAATTCGCTAGAAAATTTAGACAGTCAAAATTATCTCATAATACAATTCAGAGAAGTTATTTATCACAAGAAAACTCTAATTTACTTGATAAAAACAACATATTTGATGTGTTTGAGTGTATACTTATAGCTAAGCATCTTTAGAGTCACAAAAAAATTCTGATCTAAACTGGTGACTGTTGATTAATTCTAATAACGTATAAATAGTTGAAGATTGAAGACACATCTTGTATAAAGAACTTATTCAATAGAAAATGAATTCTAGAATAAGAAATATGGATACTTCTTCGCGTGTTTGTTCTAAACATTGTTGTAATTCATTGATAGTTGATTGGGCTTGAAATAGACTTGTTTCTTTTGCTAATAAATCTTCTTTTAATTTTAAATTATGTATTCGATCATTATTCATTGATTCTTGATTATCTAAAAGACAAAGAAATTTGAATCTCTTTAAAAAAAAAAAAGAAATGTTGTACTTACTCATTTGTTCATGTAGTTCTTTAAGAACATCTCTTAATGCATCCAATTCTTTTTTTAAGTCAATTTTATCTTTTTCAAGTTGTTCGATTTGTTTTGTATAATAGTGTCGTTGTTCAATTGTTACTTTTTCTGTCGAAAGTAATTCATGACGAAGTTGTTCTGTTGAATAACCAGAATCATGTTCATATTTACGTAAAAGACCAGTATATTTTTGTTTTTCAATATTTAATTCCTAAACAAAATGTACATAGTATTTTTAAACACATTAAATAATACATACAGTTAAAAAATTTTCTTTTAGACGTTGTTCAAGTTCATGAATTTGTATTCGATGTTGTTCACGTTCACGATTTAATTCAGTTTGAAGACGATCAGGCCATTGTTCAGCTTCACGTAATTTAATTGAATAAGTATCATGAATTTTTTTCATTTGTATATCATGTGTAATATGAAGTGTTTCTCGTTGTTTTGTTAATTCAATATTTTCATTATGTAATCGTTCAAGTTCAGAACGTATAGTTTTTAATTCTACTGTATTAAGAAAAGCAATAAGATAATTTTAATCAATAGATTTTATTTCTTACAAGTATCTTTTTCTCGTAAATTAACAAGTTCATGATAGACTTCATCAAGATCGTGATATTTTCTTAATAATTTTTCGTATTCATCACGTGTACGATCAAGAACAGCTTGACGTGATCGATTTATTTCATCAATTTTTCGTCGAGTATTTAACTCATTTGTTTCGAATTCTTTTTTCATTAAATTCAATTGTTCATAGTCATTAGTTAATTGAAGAAATTTCGATCGAATATTTTCTAATTCTGTATCAGCTTCTATAATAAAGAAACAAAAAAGCAATAGGTAAATTTAACTTAATAAAAATTATTCTTTTACTTAATCGAAGTTCTTTTTCATTTGTAAGTTGTTGTCGATATTGATCAATTATTAAATCAGTATTGGCTTTTGATGCATCTTTATCAGATAGTTGTCTTTCTAATTGCTGAGCAAATCGTTTTGTTTGTTCTAAATCATTTTGTAATTGTGTTTTAGTTTGTTCATATTGTGATATTTGTTCACGTAAATAAGATAGTTCATTTTTTTGAATCTCAATTTCTCCTCGAGCTGCTTCTAAATCATTTTGTATTCTACATTTAAAAAAAAATACATATATGAATAACAATCATGAAAAAGAACATTTTTACATAGTATGAGATTCATTTAATTGGAGTTGAGATTGTTGATATTTGATTTGAAGATCTCGAAAAGATTGATTTATTTCACTAGAAACCAAATAAATGATGTAATATACCAAGTAGTTTATTTCGGGTCATCAAACAGAGTCAGAAGTAGTAGTGCTCTCCGGTTAAAAATTTTTTTTTTCAATAACACAAGAGAAAAAAAACGCTTCTCCAAGGATAGATAGCTTCTGGATCGATATGAACGAAGCATAGCGCCTTCTCTCCTTCCATCTTTCTGAAACCTAAATAAATTTTTCAACGAAGGAAACGTACATTGCATGAAGAATGGAAAATATCTTGTTCCAATACAAACAGCAACTTATTCAACATACTTGTAAACCTCATTAGTGAATTTAGAATCATGGATGATCACATGTTTCTCTTTACCATTCTATCATAAAAGATGACGTCAGATAAAAGATGAGCTATACTAGCCAGATATCTATTTAAAGTAGAAGTTGTCAAGTTGGTTTCGAGCACGAATTCAGTTGGATTCGGCTTCGACAATGTTTAATTCAATGGGTGTTAATGGTCTGAAAAATGAATAGGGTGTACTATCTACCAAATAGAAAAGAAAACCAGATAAAAATATCTCATATCTTCTGAACGACTATCCAATTTCGATTAGAAAATTTCAAGAAAAGTATCAAAGTACGTTAGGCCCGGTTCGATTCCGAAAATTTTGGATCCTATGGACTCTAATCCGAAGCTTAGAGAAAAGTCTTTTACATACTTAAGTTGTTGTTGATATTGTTCAATTTCTGTTTGATAATTATTAATTTGTTTTGTGTATTTGTTCATTATGATTTGAGTTTCTAGATAATAGATAATTTCAAAATAGAAATTTTGATGATTAAAATTCTTTACCTTTTTGTAATGTAATTTCAACAGTTTGTAAATACATTTTCCAATTTTGAATGTCATTTGAATAAAAATCTTGTAAAATCGAATATTCTTTTCGAATAGTTTGTATTTGGTTGCGTGTAAGTCTTAGTTTGGATGAATATTTTGAAAAAGAATTTCTTTAACAAGAAACAACCAATCAAATAAATATGTTATTCAAATAAAAAAAAGTATCTACTTCGTTTCTTGATGAGCATTTATTGATTGTTCTAATTGATCATGTACTAACTGAAGTTTTCTTGTCATTTCATTGTGTCTATGAAAATAAAATCTATTTCTCTGTAATTTAATACTAATTTATTAATTTACTTGTGAGTACTAATGGCAAGGTTTGACTCAAGATCAGACATACGTGCTCGTTCATTTTGTAATGTTTGTTCTAAAGCATTTTCACGTGAACTTATACCAGCATAATAAGCTAAATCAGCTTCAAGTTTTTGACATTTCCCTTCAAGTGCTTTAATTTCATTATGAATTAAATAAGAAACACCACAAAATTGACAGACCGTATCTTGTCGAGACATATTTGTTATATCAACAGGTAAAGGATATTGTGGTGTATAACGTTCAAAATGGTCTTGTTTGTGCATGTCTACAATGACGAAAAAAGAAAAGAAAACATCAATTCATAACCTTTATGATCATAAAATCGATCGATTTATTCCTTTTTTTCTTTTACAAAACAACAAGAAGAAGAAGAATTTCAAATTAATTACGACATAAAATACACTAAAAAATATAATTATGACCAGTATGATGCCGATTGTGGACGTTCGATACGGCGATTTGTTGGTGGACATTGTGAAAGTGTTTTACGCATATCATCACCTTGACCTTTTCGTAAATTTTCAATACCATCGAATTTAACTTTAGGTGGAGCTCGAGCTGATTGTTGTAATTTACCATATTGATGAAAAAGATCATTAACATGATGACCTTGACCCATATCATAATTTGAATAAGCTTGATCACCTTTAACATGTGGTTCTGGAGTTGGTGTGTAACGATCAATGCCATGTTGAAGTAATTGAGAATCACCAAGACCTTTTTGAAGATTCATTTCAGCATCAACACCTTTTACATGAGGTATTGGTCTTGGTGTAGCTGATGTACGACCATAATTATTTAATATTGGACCCATTTGACCTTCTTGATGTGAATAAAATAGATTTGTTGCTAGCTATTAAAAACAAAACAAATCAATTGAAAATTTTCTATTGAAAGGAATTGGCGACTTTTTCTCATGGACTATAGTGTCCTGTTAGTTTTTCTTTTTTGGTTGTGCGTGGTATGACGATATGAAATAAAACAATCGGACATTGAACATTTTCATTGTTAGTGAAAAATTGTTATATTAAGAACGAAGTCATTTCCACATGAAATATCCTAAAAAACGACTAGTATTTCTAGATTTTTATTAATAAAACATGGTTTTAATGGAAAACAAGCATGATTTGCAAAATTAATATGCAAAACGATGCCGTAAACTCTATCTTTCATCGAAAAAAACTTTCAATCAAATTTTTCCTGTGGGCACTACAACTTAAAGTTTTACGAATAAAAAGCTAAGAAGAAAGAGAACGAAAATTTTAATCAGAGATATTTTGCTGTAAAACTTAGAGTCTCCGATGTATTTTTGTGTATTAATTTCAAAAATCATATTTATTTCTAATAGAAAACAATTTTTGAAGATTCAAATCTAGAAAATACTAGCTGCTTTTCTCGTATTTTACATTATATTGACCTGTTCTAAAAATAATGATATTTTTGCTAGCACTGAAAATTCCAAGGTTTGTGTCAGAGATTTTGATAACACAACACTACTTGGGATATAAAATGTCATAAAGCAAAAGAAACAAACAAGAAGTATATACATGTCATTTTCTTAATCATGTTGCTTCAATTCTTGATTATCATATTGATTTTCTCTTTTCAGAAGTTCGAACCATAGTTATAAGTACCATTTTTTTTTCTTTTTGTTTTTGATAAGCTGTATGAAGCTAGATTGTTGTTAAAATTTTCACTTTTTAAAAACGAATTACTGTGAAGTTATAGGCTAAACAGTCTTTCTGATATAATAAAAAATAAGCATGTAATTGAATACTTTTTTATGATAGATAGTAGAGTACTGCAACCCGCAGATCGGGTACATACTTGTACTCGATATAGACGTGAAAAATAACGATATATGAAAACAAAAAACTGCATTTTTAATAGCACATTTTCATTGAAAACTAGAACATATGTTTTGAATGTTGCTGTTTAATAACGATACTCTGGATAACATGGTAGATAAGTCGTTCTGTTAAACTATCAGCAATGTGTCACAGTAATGCAATCAACGGGTTAAGTACTCTCGTATTTGGGTACGATTACCAAAAAATTGTACTCATTCAGTAGTCTAATAGGTAGTACTTGTTAATAAAGTAATTGCTTATGATGATTTTATTATTTTTTTTAGCAAATCAACAATTGTATATGTAATCAACATTTAGCTATTATTCATGCAATTGTAGATACCATCTAAGTCATAAGATAATAGAGAAATCAATGTTTGTTGAAAGTGATTCTTTTCCTAAACTATTGATTTTTTTTGCTAAGGATAAAAATGTCCAAGTTTTTGTGTAGTGATCTCATATCTCCAGGATACTCATAACAAAAAAAATTTGTTAATAGAAAAACAAAATTTAGAGTAGGGAAGATAGTGTAAGCACTAATTTCTTTGATAAATTTTACCTCGCCTTGTGTATGAGGTACTGGTGGTGTTGGTAAAGATAATTTTCCATAATCTTGTAATAATGTTTTCATTTCTGTATTATGATTTTTTTCATAATTAGCACGACCTTCTTTTTTTACACGCATACCATACTGTGAATCAAGTGGTTGAACATTGCCATGAATAAGATTTGGTGTTGAACAACGACTTTTGGTATAGTTTCGTAAAGCATCAGGTCCTAAAACTTTTGGTTGTGGTAAATTTGATTCTTGATTTATTGGTGCTGTTGTTGTTGTTGTTGTTGCTGTTGTTGTTGACATTCTTTGACCTTCAATAGCCCAATCACCAATATTTAAACTTCCACGATTTTTAACATAATTTTGTACAGCTTCACGATTAACACGAAATGGTAGAGCTTCTTCAAAGTTTGGTACAGTTGATGAAAACGTTGTTGGATGTGATGGAGGAATCCAATTAGCTGATTCAGAAGAGAATGTTTTAGTCATGGTTTAAAAGAAACAAACAAAAAAAATCTATTAAGTAAGTGTGCCTTGTTCTTTTAATAAAACATACTAGACATCTGACAAATGTCAGTTGCTAAGCAATGTCCAATATGATTGAATAATAAAATTTCTTTTTTAATTTGTCAAATTTTAATTATTATTAACTATTTTAATTGTATTTGAATCAGAATTATTACGACATCTAAAGGAAAATTCTTAGTTCTTGATGAAAATTAAATTAATTCTATTGTTCGTTCTCCTATTGGTTAGAATTTATTTACATAAATGAGCTGGCTGAGCATGATAGTTAGTCATCTTATGCTCGAAAAGTTAGTAAACACATTGATTTATGTATTATATTAATATTCTTTTTCAAGTTCTTAGTCAAAATCTATACTATGAATTAGTCATTCAGTTTGTAACTCCACGAGTTCTTTACGGATTGGTTCTATTGTGAAAAAAATAAACTTTTGACGTGTATATTAACACGTATCAGTCTAACTTCAAAACTATAAAATGAACAAATGACGAATTAATATGAAATCTTTTTTCTTATTTGTTATTAGATGGGTTTGGGTAAGTATATTGTTAGATTATAGTTAGAGTTTGACATATTTAGTTTTTTTTTATTCAAATTTTGGATTTGTTTTCTCCTAAGAAAAGATATCATACATAAATTATTATACGAGAACGATAAGTATATCATTTATATTATTATCTAATAAATAGTTCATAATATAGAGTTGATATCAATCGATTTCTTTGTTGTTTGCACATCTGCATACATTGAATTCTATCATAGTTGACCGTCAACCAGTCTTAAAAAATTTATTACGTCATAAAAGTGGATATAATAAAGAAAACAATGCATAGACTTTTCCTTTTTTCTTTCTTCATCCATTCTTATTTTCATCTATTCTATATATGCATGCTTCGACTAATACTAGCTAACACTAAAAATATCGACATGTCTCTTTGCAAGCAAGAAGCAGAAATGAGAGAGGAGGAGGCGAGAAAAAGAGGTAAGAGACTACTTCGTCCGCCGTGATAATATGCTCGTATGTTTTCATAAGAAACATTTTCTTCTTTATTGTTTTATGATTCTGATCAAGTTAGATTCAATGAAATTCCCTTAGAATATCATATAAAATTTTTTAGATAAATATCATTTTCAGTCGAATAATGGAACCTCAGAGTCAAGATATTGATTCAACAACAAATGAATGGAATAAAAGTTCATGTAATGATCATTCCATACGACATGATCCAAATGAAACACCAACGGTTAATTCAACAAATCCAAATTATCATCCAGCACCAATGACAAATAATTATAGCTGGGAAAAAAATAATTCAACTATTGAAACAAATGTTGACAAGGCGAAAGGAGAATTTAAAAAAGGTCAACAACATGCAGAAGATATTATTACAAAGTCAAAAAGACATATTCTACAACACTGTAAGTTAAATAAATACAAATTCTAACGCAATAAAACCAAACTTTTTTCAATGTATATTTGACAAACAAAAAATAATTCAAATCAATAGAGAATTAATTTATGTAGACCAACAATAACCTTAACCATCATCTATACTAGTAATAAGTATCGACATCAATAGTTTATGTCAGTTTTGGAAAATATGCTGCAATCGGAAGACATATATTAGCACATAGACACACGTTTTTCTTTCGGTTAGCGGCAAAAAACCTAAGTGACAAATATTTCTGTAGATTAATAAACACGTGTTAGTCATTCTCATTTCCGTGTGATGATTTCTTCATCATCATCATCATCATACGTTGTTGCTGAATGAAAGTAGAGTGAAGAGCAAAAAAAACAAAAGAAGACGAATAAAAATATGCGAAACAAACCACAGATAATCATAAATATATCCAAGAAATGAGTCGGGTCGATGTTTTATTTTCTTTGATCAAGAGGAAAGAAAAGAAATAGAGTAGATAGAAACTGAGAAGATCATATTTACATATTTTTTCTTTCTCGTTTCATAAGAAAAACAGTCAATATATTGCCTTACTGAATTCTAGGGGAACAAACTCGTCATTCAATTATTCATTTACAAAAAAGAGTTAAAGAAATGTTACCAAAAAAAGGTAATCAATAGGTTTCTTTTTTGTTTTTCTTTTATTAATATTAAAAATTTTAGTTACTAATCTCATTTATTGGCAAAATCCAATTGAATCTGGCATCGTTTTTGGCATTTTATTATCTGTAATAATAACATTTATGTTTTTATCGTCATTGGCTGCAATATCATTTTGGTTACTTGCATTTCTTGTTATTGTTGGTCTGTATAAATTATATAATTATGTCATGGTAACATTTGTTGGTCGAATTCAAGATGATATATTTGAGTAAAAAAAAAACTTATTTAATTAATTCTGAAGATTTTTATATATGTTAATTTAGTTCAAGTTTTTCATCTGATATGCATATTTCTGATAAACAAGCACAAGCATTGGCTAATTACATTCGTACAAATGGAACAAGTGTATTAAGACAAGCACGAAGTCTATTCTTATGGAATAATTTGACAAATTCAATTATTGTAAATCAATTAAATGTTTTTTTTTGAAATATGATTGAATGTTTATGTTTTCTTTTGTTTTTAAGTTTGGTCTTATGCTTTTCGTCTTTTTCTATATTGGTTTATCAATGAATGCACTTACATTTGCACTTGTTGGTTTAATTATCTTGTTTACAATACCAAAAATTTATCAAGTATATCAAGTAAGAATTTTTATTTATTTAAGTTATATTTGAAAATTTTGCTTTTTTAGGTACCAATTGATCGTACTGCTAAACAAGTTCTTAATCAAATAAATCAACTTCTAGCCAAGTAAGTATAAATTAGGAAATCTTTTTCTATGAATTTTCTTTCTTGATTTTTTCAGAGTAACAACAAAATTACCAACAAAACCCAAGAAACCTTAAAACAATGGCTATGACAAACATTTCATTTAGGTTTAATAAGAAAAAAAACGCAACTTTTCTTTCTCATCTCTACTCTCCTAGTCTATTATTGTGTTGATTTCGTTAGGCATGGAATGCACTTTTTTTTGTTTTTTTTGTTCTTATTTCCTACATTTTATATTCTTGTTGTTGTGTTTGTTTGTTTATTTCTCTATTATCAACTCTAGAACACGAAAAGAAAATATAAACATTATGCAATACGTTCTTATCATAGAGAATCATCTTTATATGTGCATTTATTTGTATTAGCAAAGAAACAATTTGGATATTTGTTTTTTAAACAGCATGTATTATCTATCGATATCAATTTCCTAGGATGAACTACAGATCGAGTTTTGTTTATAACCGATAGGAGAAAATGATGAATGAGATTTGGTTTTTAAGAATAATCTTTTTTGAATGATTGTTTAAGTCGAATTTTTCTCTGTATTATGAATACTATATTTGATTACTTGATTGAATGAGTAAAATAATTAGCAATCAACTATTAAGACTTTTCTTACTGAGAACAAGTTCATTTGTTTGACAAGAAGTAAAGTATATAGAGTAGTCTATAAATAAATAGACAATTAAAAGAATTCAATATTTTCTGTCTGCTTTAATCGATCGGATTGCTTGTTTTTTTTCGGTGGTAGAGGACTTTTAAAAGCTTTTATTGAGAAAAAAAAACTATTAAATAAATACTGTTTAAAGCTAACACTATTGATCTTACGAAAGAAATACACTATTGGTTAAAAATATTTTTCTTGTCCGGCTGAGTTCACGAGCAGTTATGATCTATGGCAACCCTTCTCATTATGAGTCCTAAAACTCAAGAAGATTAAAAGCTTATGACTCGGCGAACCTATCACTATATAGCTCTTTAATGTAGTTATTTAGACGATGAGTTTTATCGAGTTTGAAATAGCTCATAGTGAGAAGAGCTATCATATATCATAACTAATTTTCATCTCAAACGATCGAGATCACAGTGGTTTGAATGATTTAAATTTCTAAGGTAGCATATATGTTAAAAATTTCAGATGTGCAGCTTTTAAGTTGGTTGAAGTCATACGTAAGATACGTGTAGTCAAAAGTGTATTTCTTTATTGAGATTTATTGAGACTAATTCAGAACAACCTCCATTCACAGTTTTCTTCTGAATAAGAAAACCTTGAAGAATCCTCTAGCACCGAGAAAGAAATTAGTTCAATTGATTAGAGCAGGTTAGAGATTTTCAGTGGTTTTATCGTCTAGTTGATCATCGACCGGCTTTCTATAATAACTTTCTATTATCAATTCTAAGAGACATAAAGCTGTAATTATTATCGATGTGAAACTAGCACGTCAGATTTAGGTCGATTTCGAGTTCTTCACGTTAGAAGTTATGAAGACAGAACTTGAGTAAGAATGCTGAGAAACACATATCGAGACACGCTTGTCTTTATTCAACTCCTAAAACCCCATTTGTAAAGTATTTTCAACCGATCAATATCTATCGTGGTTGGTTTTACACCGATATAATTGTAAAATACAAAAATAGATGTGTTTTTTCTTCTGAATCAATGTTAACGTTATGTATTTGAATGAATTCAAGTAAGGTAATAAAATTAAGGATGTTAAAAGAATGTCTATAGTGATAATGAAATTATATAGTAATTTCAAATAATACATTGAATTTTATCGATCTTTCTTACTGCAATTAGTTCAGATCTATGGGATAATTACTATGAAGCTATGGATCCTTCCCGACCGTCAGAAATATGAATCCATAGCCCTATACATTGATTGCATACAACATATTCTTATTTGATCTCATTTACATCAATAAAACTAAAACTATTCCATACATACAACTAAAAGTTTTAGTATGATTGTTCGTTTGACAACTGTCGTCGACAAATTTTGTTTATGAATTAACTGTTCAATTTCACCTTTTGTTAATACTATTCTCTTATCGATAAAGCGAAAACTATTAGTTTATTAAGCATCAAAAGATGACAAAGTGAATAACAAGAAATAACTGTCTGTTGACTTTTTTCTGAGAGTAGCCAATCCATAACTAAACCTTTGATCCTACACTTGTTCATGTAGATAGAAGATGCTTTTCGTTTTTTAATGCGATGCAACAAACTCAAATTGGTATCAATATTAACGTTCTATTCCTAAATATTTCAAGAGTATTTTATGGATAAATCATATTTAATGCTATCAGGTGTATCATATCATTTCATTATATTTTCAAATGGGAAAGAATTAGATGCAGCAATCAGTAACTTGTAGACATATAATGAATATTAATATTGAAGTCGAGCAAAGTACACTCGGTTTAAAAGTAAATAAATTCATATGATGTTTGAGATATTGTTTTTTGACAATTAGTCTTTTCAAATTAAGAAAGCTGTGTTGAAAATTTCAAAGTATTGTTACTTTTAATAATTGTCTAAATGAGAAAATGAACTCTTACATTGCCATGATATGTTTACTTTAAATGAATAATATACTACGTTGATATTATACATGAAAAGAAAAACTATGAAAAAGAAATCAAACATCTGTTCTAGCAGTTTTAGATTACATATAAAGGTCAAAGTTTTTCTGATAAAAGTAATAAGGATAAACCTTTGCGAAATTTTATATCACATTTAGAGCATTGGTAATCAAAATGAAATAATCGAATCTTACATCATTTCAAACTTTTTTTGCATGGTCATATTATTTAGAATTTCAAGGTAGACTCAAAATTAATTTTCAAAATAAATTAAATGCAGACAGACGCAAAGTCTGTTCCATCGTTCCCATGACCTTTTGAAACTTTAACCGGCTCGAATTTTTATCAGTAGACAAATAGTGAAATATGCAGTAGATATCGTCTACAGATAGTAGATTGCATTGTATATAAGAACGAATAAAAAAAGACATCGAGATACTATTATGGAGGCACACGATGGACTTTCTTCAACTTTTACTTTTTCTTCTTTTCTTTCTGTCTTTCTCTTTAGACTATCGCGCATTTATTCTTTTATTTACACCCTAGAAAGCCACTCGAATCGATCATAAATTTTAAAATGTTATTAACGTTTGGACTTTGTTTTATATGTAGAAAAAAAAAACGAACTTTTAATTAAAGATTTTTGTTTTTATTCAATCTTATTCATTTAATCTTTGTCATTTAACTCTTTGATACAGTATGTAAAAATTTTGATCTACTTATTTTTGTTCAGATGTCTTATCTTATTGCTTCATCGAAATGTATTTGTAAAATTTACTCTTTCATATTTATGTTTACATACGTATATAAAAAGAAACTTGTGAATTATATATAATATTTTTAGACTAATTTCTTTGTTCTTGTTCATTTGAAAAATGTTTGGTTTTCAAACTCTCGCCTGTCTTCATGACATACCAGGTAAGAAAATTAATTATTCTTCTTTTAAAAATATTTTGTGATTTCTTTTTTTCATATAAAAGTTGTGCGTTCATCAACTAATAAACTTCAAGATGCATATACGAAAGCAAAAGATACAAGTGCATTTATTCGATTTCCATGCAATTTAGTTGAAACAGTTGCTGATAAATCACTTAAAATTGCTTCTAATGTTGCTAATCCAATTGTTAAATCATTAGAGGCACCTGGTAAATTATTATTTTAAAATTATTGTTATTAGTATTTATTTTTTAATTATCTAATTAGTTCGTATAATTGATGGGTTCACTGTTGAAAAAATTCGTCAGATCGAAGCTAAATATCCTGTTATTAATACACCTACTAAAGAAGTTATAAATGCATTGAATGAAAAAACTGAACCTGTTCGTCATATAATGAACTCGGTCAAAGATACAACAACATCAACTATTCAACATGGCAAAGAAACAGTAAATTACTCATTAAAAATTTGTTTTCGAATTTTCTTTTCTTTTAATCTATTCATAGGTTTCTAATGTAGCAACTGTAACAGTAAATAAAGCAACAAATGTTGCCGATACTGTTTATACATTTTGTGAAAATCATGTACCAGGAAGTAAAGAAAATTTATGATATAAAAATAATTTATTATGTATTTTGCGTTTAAATTAGAAACAGTACTTGTTGATCGTGATGATTTTGGTCGTCGAACAACACTTTTATGGAATCGTCTTAAATCAACTACTGGTTCAAATATTGATCAAGCATTTCAACAAATTCAATGTTTATTGATATGGTATCGAATGTTGATTGTATCATTTTTATTAAAAATACAACAGACCAATGATGTCTTACTTCATAAAGTGCAAGGAAAACGATTTTTATCTATATTACCACAACGATTTTTAATTTATACAAGTAATATTGTTGAATATGTAATAGAACGTATTCGACCAGATGATATGAGAGAAACTAAAGAACGATCTCAATTAATGCAACAAAAACAACAACAATTCGTTAGTCGGTAAATAAAAAAGAAATATTCAGTAAAAAAAAATTGAGAATTAATTTATTATTTTTTTGAAATAGACAAACATTAAAACCTGGTGCATTTGTTACTACACATCAAACTATTCGTACTACAAAACAAGATACAGTAATAACTCGTAATGGAAGTACAAAACCATCAGTGATGGAATCTGTTCCAAATGATGATAATGGAATATTACATGAACGATTGAAATCAACTGATATGGACCTTCTTGATTCTGGATTACCTGGTGATGTTATACCATCTATGGATAATGATCAAGAATTTTTAACAGTAGATCAACAGATGATTCATTCAAAATTTAATTAGTGCTGAATTAGAAAACCAAGGTTATATCAACGACAAACACAACTATAGTAAATGAACAAATCATCGTTTTTTCTTTTGCTTTGGATGCCCTAGTAGTTTTTCTTCTATTTTCTTTTATCGTTATTTCATATTGTTCTTTGTTTTTGTCTATCTCTTTATTCATATTATCATATGTTTATTAGCGTCATTTCAGGATCTATAGTTATTGTTGAATAAACAATTTTACTTGTGATCGATGGTATCAAATCTTTGTTTTATGTGATACACTGATATAGAATAATGAGAAGAGATTTTATTATAACCTTATGAGTAGAATTCATAGTATGATAATTGAAGTGTTGAATCGAGAATTTGAGCATAATAATAATTCATGTAATTGGTAGAACATTTCATGGTCTCTCCTCGCACAATGGATTTCCAACTCTGTCATGGTTAAGGTTGGGCTGAAATTTTCATCAGTAAAGGATCCTGATGAGAAACGTTTTTTCGTAATAATTTCAGTATGATATGTTAAACTAAACCGAAATTTCCGCTTAATCACAACCTATTTATGATCTCAGAAGAATTTCTAATGTTTTATCATTAAAAGAGATACAGTACTCGGGATGGTTTCAAATAAAAGTCAACACCTATGCCCAGTTTTTTACTCAAATAAAAATTTATAGTTCGCTTTTGTTTATTTTTTATAAGCATTCTGATAGATATGATGTTGAAATGGACATAAAAACGGGGCTCTACCAAACTCAATCTAACTTTACAAAGAAAGGAATCACTTATCAGAAACAAAACTAGCCAAACACTAGTTGAGTTTCATGTAGGGTTTTGAAATCAAAACATATAGATTATATATATTGGAATCGTGTAGAGGTCGTTTTAATTTTTCTAACTGAAAACCATAATAGTAGAGTCTGAATTTCTTGCTAATAGGCCTATTAAAATTTAGTCATCTTGAGAAAAGCCATATATATATACAGACATTGCAAGAAAAAATTTCAGCGCATTTTCCAATGGCAAAAATTCAATTTTGATGTTTTTTCAAGCTATTAGATATTTTAAGGAAGGACACCCTTAATTTTTTACTACTCATTCGATGGATCAATTTAAACAAAGTTCAATAAATAATATTGACAGACGATACTCGTACTTCTCATGTAGTTAAAGAATCCCCATTGGGCATCATTGTTCGTTCATCTAAACACAAGAGGAATAAAACACTTGAAACAAGAAAACCATTTGTGCCTTTACTTTTGTTGATGTATGCATTAAAACCATTCAATCTATTGAATTTTTTTTTCATTTATACCAACATCATTCAGTAGTCGTTTATTGACTGATCAAAGAGCAAGTTATAATCACACCACTATGCATAAATATTTGCTATGAATTCGTAGTCAACTGTGCTGTTTCATTTACTCATTCGATAATACAGATGTATGTTGGATGAATGTAAGTCATTTTAAAATATTGTTTAAAGGAATATTTTTATCTGTTCAAATAAATCTGACTGTTGTTTAACACAATTAGTATTTCAACATACTTTAACACATTCAACCCGATGAGACCCACCGGTGGGTCTCACTATATTGTACAGTGATTAGTCGGCTATGATGACAAAAGGCTCTCAGAAAATTTTTTCGTCTGTCAGATTTTGTAGAACTCTCTTTGCCGATCATTTTGATAGAAAGTTTTTTTAAATTTAATAAATAAATGATGATGCTAGAGTGGAAATACTGAAAAAAATGAGACAGCTCTGTCTGCTAGAGCTATGATTTTTTTTCAGTATTTTGACTCTAGCACCGTCATTCATTTATCAAATTTAAGAAATCTTTTTTATTAAAATGATTGGCAAAGAGAGCTCTACAAAGTCCAATAGACGAAACATTTCCGGAGATCTATTTTTTTTTCGTGATTGACTACTCATGAAAATACTCAATTATATGTCTGAAAATTTTGCAACTTTTGGTAATCCTTTAGCACATAGTCATTCTATGAATTGCTAGTTATACTACTAAATCCCGTTTTCGACGAGGTTTCGTTTGGCATAAAATTCAATGTTGATATCATTTGTATTTGGAGCTGTACCCTCTGGAAAAATATTATTTACTACCTCGTAGAATCAAATCGGGTTCAATGTGTTAATAAGTTATTAATTACATTGTCATATATGACAAATAATTCTTGTGAAAGTACAAAATATGAATACTATAGTCGAACATTTTCATTTTCATTTTCATGACATACTTGAGTATCTTGGGCAAGAACGTTGTATGACATGAACACATCTTGAAGCCTTCAGGCAAGCTGATGGGCTTGAATTTCTTGTCCCATAGCTTAACATTCTTATTCACGCACGTATGAGATTGATCATAAATAAAATAGCCTATGGCAAACATTACGAGCTGCATCGATTAACAACAAAAGCCAGCAACCATTGCAGGCTAGCGATATTTATGCTCGACAGGATCCAGTCATTTGTCACAACTATGCGAAGGATTTCTATGATGCGTGAAGTTTAATTTTAATTATATGTTATACATGTTTTTCGTGTTTTTTTGTTCTTCAGTTTTATATTCAAAATGATTCGACTAATAATAGAAGTTCATAGCTTAGATAACAAATTCGATAATAGGCAAGTTACAAAGGGAATTTATATGAGTAAGTGATTCAGACATTCTCAGTGATAAAAAACATCTTGTCATCTTGAGCATAAAAGTCTTTCTTAGTTTATTACCATCGATTATTTCAAGTATGCTTATTTGCGTCATTTTCATGAGTTTAGTTTATGACGCTGATTTATATATGCACATAACTAATGCAACCATTTAAGTGCTTCTCTATCGAAAGAAAATCATGAAATATGAACACATATTGAGTTTTGTACATGTCATAGTATTGTCATATATTAACACGAAACTCTATCGATTGATATACAAATATTTATATTATCAATTCAACGTTTGATAAATATAGTTAACATTCGAATTTCGTTCGACTTCAGTGTATTTTATTTTTAGTATATAACCAAGAAGTATAATGTTTTTTTTTAATTATATATTGTATTTAATACATTAGAGATTGCAATTCAATAACTTATTGAGATACAACTGGTGAATTATTGTGCGTAGATAAGTCAATATTATTCAACAATTTATTTTTACAAATTGAATGCGTCAATTAGTCTGATTTACAATATTATCTCGATTCAATAGTATTTTCAAGTCTTCCATTGCAATGTTTCAATACTATGGATATTATAATGACCAGAAGTATGTAATCATGTTTTTATCTGAGGTGTACTACTCTCGACAATTAAAAAATAATTTAAATTTTATAGTAAAATAAAACTCGTCGAAATATGGAATTGAATAGTAGAAATATTAAATAGGAATTTCGATATAGTTTCCCCATTGATTTCTAAGAATGTTGTAAAATTAAAGTGATCATCACAAGATATTATGCAGGATTCCTGTAAAAAATCAGCTTGAAAATAGTGCTTATCTGATAAAGAAAAGGTGGTAGATAAGTTAAAACTCATTTAAAACTAGAAAGAAAAACTAAGAAATGATTTTTTTCTATTACATAATCATATTCTTCGTATCTCAAAATGTACTATGGTGGGTGAGAAAATATGTATTTTGATTATATTTTTGTGTTATTTTCAAATGAGCTATCTATCTTCTTTGTTTTCTGCATGAACAGTGAAAGTGATTTAAAAAGAACGCATATAACTAGCATGTCTATTTGTTATAGATTCTTAAATGAATCATTAATTAGAATAGGAATTGTTATCATTTTTTGGATAACAGGAACAGCATTCTTTTCATCATACAATTCCCTTTTGGTTTGTCATAAAATATAAATTATCTGAATTTCTAACATTTTTTGACATGCAACTTAGTAGCGTAATCAAGAGTGTGTTAGGCAGTAGTCTGTCCTCCCATCAGGAGACAGAAAAAAAAATAATCGTTATCATGGATACTATACTGCATGAGTTTTTCGAATCGTAGAGCACTGTCCTATTACCCACAACTTCAGTTTACACCATCAATATGATAGCAACATTTCGCTGAAAACCATATTAATTCGTATCCATTGAATCCATTTAATGAATTTTCTTTTAATATGAAATCTATTTTACATGTTAAGTGCACGTATGATTCTGTCCTCTTGAAAAAAACACTTTTACGCTTTGTTTATAATTTTTCATACGATATTCTGGCTGATGTTAACAATAAAAGTAATTTTCTACGAATAAAATCTTGAGTGTTAATACGTAAGAACTAATAATTAGTATAAAAACGTGTAATAAATAGAAGTAAAGAAGATAAGTATATTTTTCTATGGAAATTGATTAAGAGGAGCTGTAACAATTTTTGAAAAATATTATCTTAGCCTATGGTCAGTGGATATTTAGAAGTTACCTGAGAGTTACGAGATTGGAAGAGAGCAAAGGAACGTATAAGGAAATGTTTGATAGAAGTAGTAAATAATTAAAAGAAAAAACTTGACAGTTTTATTGAGTAATAAAGAATAATTTTTAATTATTGCAAGAGTGTACACAGACACCTCCGTTTTCGCGTCAATGGTACGAAAGAAAAAAGAGACTCCAAAATTCGACATATCGATATAAAGAAGAAAGATTATTCATCGATTACAAGTACATAACACTATTTTTTTTTACCTATTACACCAAACGAGAAATACAAAAAAAAAAATTTTATAATTATTTGCGTATTTTATCGGATACTCATTACACACGATGAAAAGGTTCTGTTATAATGGCATTCGCTCTTATAAAAAATACAGCGTAAGTAATAAGTTACTTTGTCAACATTAAATATAATTATTAGCTTGATCTATAAATAACATCGATTGTCTGTTGTCAAAAAAAATTTTTCTTTCAAACAACTTTTTTTTCTCATGTAATTTTAAAACCAAAAAAAAATATTCATATATCAGAACACATTCATTTGAAGGACACACGATAAGATGTTTAAGTAAATAATTAATGAAGAATATTTCTAACTGTTTTGTATATTAAAAGCTTTTTATAGAATATATTTCACAATTGTATTTTGTTGTCATATCATTTTATCCTTTTGTAGTTATTATCTACTATTATTCATATATGTATATATATATATATATATATCAATTGATAGTGTCAATAGTAATAAAATTTTGTATTTACTCTTATTTTTGCACTTCATATAAATTGATAGCTATTTGATATTTATTAATGATTTTATGTAAAAACTGAGTATATTTCACTGTTAGAGATAAAAGAATAGATCACTTGTACATGAAACAAAGACTAATATTCACTGGTACAAATGTCATTAGATATAATAAGATAAGCCATGCAATAAAAAAATATTTTGAAGTAATTCAAAAAAAGCTCGATGAATATTTCTACATATGTTCCATTAATAATTAGAACTAGTTCGTTATTTTAATTGATATTTATTCATTATTATTTCGTTGAAGTTGTTCCATAAGATAGTCATAGAATTCACGACGTTGATTTTGTTGTTCTTCACTACTGTCATCATCATCAAATTGACGTAAACTCATATATTTACCTTTGGCTGTTCGTTGTGTATTTTTTTTATTTCCACGACCTCCTTTGTTTGGATTGGGACATATTTGTTTACAAGCTTTAGCTGCTTGTTTAATTGTTTTGCCTTTACCAGTCTTTGGATTTCGTTGTGTATGAATACATTCGATTTCACATTTACTTTGTTTATCAACGATACTATGACCACCTTGTCGTTTGCTAAATAAGTAATCATCATCAGTCTCACGTTCTTCATTATCCTGATCTAAAAAATAATGTATTGATATATTATAATAATATGAATGAAAGTTATTTTTCTTAACCTGTTTCAAAAGATCGTTTCATTTGTTCTTCACTATCTTTTTCATTACTAAGATAATTTAAAATTGAACGAAGCTCTAAACCAAGATCATTGTCATTTCCATCATTATCATTTGCTATTTCACGAAGTGATGGATAACTAGCAACGTAAGCAATGAAAAGAAGAAAAACTAAATAAATACGAAATAAGTACATGAAAAAATGATTGTCATAGTAATAATTTATCGATTAGTTTACCTGCAAATGCGATACGCATTGTGCTGTAATTATGAAATATAAATGAAAAGAAAAAGAAAGAGTTTAAATGGTGTATTGATTCTGTTCGTCCCTTTTTATAGCTGTCTTCTTTCCTAGCAGATTATTCATATCACTTTTTTTCTTTTCTCTCCCGCACTGTTCTGACATATTTTTTCTCTGATTCTCTCTCCAATGAGAATGCTACAGCGAAATTGGACAAAAAAAAATTTATGAGAGACCTTTTTATTTACAGACCATGAAAAGAAGCACGATGTTGCTCGTTGATACTATGGAGGTCGTGTGAGTATTTTGTTTCTCGATATTGATAGATGCAAATGTAAGAAAAAACTCCACATGGGCCTGTGCGAATATTTAATTCTGTTGCTTTTTGTTGACATTAAATTCAGTATGACAGAGCAGGTGCTGAAAAGCAAATCTGCCCACATTTCTATATTATTCATCTCATTGAAAACCTTAGTATAATACTAAGAAATGTGTTGAAAACTTCATAACTCTATCTATGATCGAAAACTATCAACACCTTGAAGACATAGTAGAAGGCATGCGTGTTGATAGTTGTAGATAATATATGTTTGAATCTAGTCAGTGTCGTAATGAAAAAATTACCATGATCAAAAATAGAATGATCGAAAAACTAGTATTAGTTATTGATAATTATTCGAAGATCGATCAAAGCATATTTTATTCCTAATACTTAATGACTGAGATTTTGATTAAATTATTGGTTAGAAAATAAATTCGTTTTTAATGTTATTCTTTATCAATGAGATTTAGGTTACATTTTTTTTTACCAACCATTGAAAAAAAATCAATATTGACGTCAGCTAATTGTGTTTATTGAGGAGTCTTGATCATATTTTTTTTGTAGTGTAACTGTAATACAAAATAAATATATAAATATACACCAAGTATTTCTCACACCTTTTGTACCTTATATTTGTTAAAGATATCCATCAGATATATATATATATGGCATATTTCATTAAGCTGTTCGCTTCAATACTTACTTACTGCAAACTTTTCTTGTTTTTTTTTAATAATTATTCTAAGATGAATGAATATTACTGAACACAATCATAAGTTTAGTAGTCGATTTCACAGGTATGAATTTATCAAATTTACTCATATTTTTGTCATTTAAAACGTCGTCAGATAACATGTATGGATTACATATTAATAGAACTAAATTCGTTGTCTATTAATTATTACACAATAATTTCTTTTTCTATTAAAAGTTATCTTTTGTGACCTACACCAATAGATATAACACAATTCACTTGTACATGAAGATTACAATATTTAAAGCTATCGGTAATGTAAAAAAGAGAAAACAAAATGTCAATACATTTAATGAAATTATAAGATAATACTCACAGAATAAATAAAAAGTATATGGGTCCATACTATCAGTAAATCATGAATTTTATTAGATAAATTGTAATGTAAAGTGTTATACTAGAATTAATTTCACAATAGGGAGAACAACATATAAGATATAGGTATTTATGTTTCTATGGACACAATTGAATATGAAACTAGAGAATTATAAAAAGAGCTTCTTCGGTCTCCTTTTGGGTTAAAACTTTGTATTCGTTCTGATTCAAATACCATTGATCCCTATTCTATTTCTAAAACCCAGTAACATTTCTTTCTTACTTTAAGAATTAATTTAAACTCATGATAATTGAGGATTTGCAAGACTAGACATACTATTTTTAGAAATGATCTTAAAACAATATTCTACCCAATAAGTGTTTAACTTCTATGAAATAAGTTATAGCTAACGTTGTTAATATACGATCATAGACCAGATATAACTAACGTCTTGTTCTCATATATGAACTACTTTCTTATTGAATTTCTGAAAGATTATGTAAAAAGATGGTGAAGAAATATGTCTCAAAGAGGATAGAACCAGACAATCTTCCTGTGATTATCAACAACAGATACGTCGTATTTCACATTATATTTGCGTATGGATTGCAGTAACAACTTTTATATTGACTTTTTATATTTCCAACAAATTCGTTATTAGTATAAAATAATAAATATGACAATCTATAAGTTTTCAAAAGTTAATCACCTAAAAACTTCAGTACATGAAGAAAATTATCATATATTTTATATTTCTTTTTCAATGGTGATTAGAGATGTATCAATTCCCAAAACATGACGTCAAAGATGACATTTTTTCTTATTAAGAATGTAGTTCGTGGAAATTATTCATATCAACCATGATCAGTTTTTATATTCTATTCCAAGCTATAGTTGAAATTCAAGAAATTGGTATATTCCTGTTTACAAAAACTCATGTCAATTATTGAGCATTGTTGGGCTTCTAGCAATTCTTTATACGAATTGTGATTAGTTTTGAACGTTCTTTCCGAAGTTATTCTTAGGTTTTGTCTAATACACAATACAGATTTCAGAATGAATCGGAATTGATCGAAAAAACTAACAAGTGCAAATTTTCTACCAATTACGAAACTTTTGCTTTCTATTTCATGAATTTCAATTACAGCTTTGAATAGAGCATGAAAAACTGATCATGATTGATATCAATAATCCACAGGAACCACACTCTTAATAAAAAAAATGTCATCTTTGAAATAACGTTCTGGAACTTAATGCATCTTTAGTGACGATCGAATACTATTCAAAACTTTAATATGATACAATACTCATGCTCTATTATAACCAATATGATATGAAATAATTCAGGTAAGAATTTCATAATGAATTCATAATAGACAAAGATAATCAACATATTTAGACAAACATTTTTATCGTTATGTAACGTGATAGATGTAATGAATAGAATTGTTATATCAGTATCAGCTGTCATGGAGAGAATGAGTGTAATTCCTTATTGTGATAGATATTTCTTATAATGGAATAATATAGAAATTTGATATATTGATCATTCTTTTTTATTGTGTATAAACCGTTTAAAAAAATAGTCCTACACTATTGCGATCTATGAATTATGTGACTGATTCGAGCTGGACAAAGCAATATTTCGTCATCGTTTGACATCATCCTTAGAGGTATAGTAATTAATAATGTGACTTCAATATTTGATGAATCACACTGGAGACTTTCTTCTTTGGCTAAAGTCTATAATAAATAATACAATAATAAAAACACTTGTTTTTTTACAAGATAAAATAATTCATCGAATATTTAATTTTGACAATTTCTATTGATGTTTTGATTTATTGAATTCTAGTGGCATAAGTTAACAGATCTATTATTCTTTGAAATAACAGATTGACTATATATCACTAGTAAGATCATAGCAAAATAGAGAGCAACAATTCGTTCTGAATCTTTTAAAGCTGACTTATCCAGTTGAAATAGATTTAGACATACTTGGTATTGAAAACTAAAAGTATAGAAGAGTCGAAAGAATAATGGTAATAAATATCAGCTTAATGTACAAGTTTGGTTCATGTTGGAGATTGAAATCTGATTGAATCAAACTAATAACTAATATGTTAAGAATTCGAAATAAAAATAAAAGATGAGAAAAAATTTGTCATTTTTATCTTGTATGACTTGATTAGTCGTTGGAATATTAGCCACTTGTACATTTAATAAAAGTCAATTCTGTGAAGCACGCGTATTTTTATAAAAAAACAAACAATCTTACTTTAATCATAAACACTTAGATGAGATCCTATTTCTGTAATATTTCTGAGTTAATTATTATTTAAAAACAAAAATAAATAAATAGATAGAAAACAGAGCTGCCGGGTTGGTCTGCTAATTAGTAGACATCTGTCAGGTCAAACTTTTTGACCTCATGCTTATGTTTTGAAAATCAAGCGTTGATGAATCACCGTATTATTCGAGAATACTTTGACAATATTATTGGATCCCAGAAACAAATTCTAGAATCGAACGTCAATTTAGTGTTGTAGAACTTACATTGACTAAAAGAAGAATTTGTTTGGATGGGAAACAATTGAATAGTTTATTTTACGTTCGCACTGTTACAAAAATTGTTTGTCAAATATAAGTGTCTTTGTCTGTTGTTATAAACATAATTTATTTCCTACAATACCGTTGTACATTTTACTTTGCCTCTTCGTCGTATACCTAAGAACAACTTATTTTTGCCTTGATGATTACATTTTTTCGATGATGAGAAACAGAACATATAATCAAAGGCATTGAGTTCATTCATATCTTTTTTGTATGAAAAATTATTGTGATGATGGTTTATTATTTTATTTATTTCGAGTCAAGCCAGTCCAGAGCAAGAAGAAGTGACCTGTTTATAGCTCAGATGGAAACATGACTGACAATTGTTTTTTTGTACTATCCTTGATAAAAATCGCACGATGGATCCTATTTGTCAAATAGGATGTCTTCTACTTGTCTTTGTTCTGTATAATCATCTGATGGAATATTTTATAATCCTAATTGTGGTATTATTTACTTTTTCTCACTAATGTCATATAGATTAATGCTTTTATATTCCATCTTCATCAGATTGCTTTTTTTCCACCTCGATTGAAGTCTTATTCAGTATGTCTAAAGAACAAATAAAATGACATAATCAATCATTTTTAAAGAATATAAAATTTTAAAACACATTTTATAAAGATAAAGATAATGATTACTCTTACCTTTCTATTCTTTACAATATCATTATAAGCAAAGTGATGCATTAATTGAGTTTAAAAAAGAAATTCCTCAAATAATTATGAATGATATTCATTGAGAACTAATTCTAAGACTGATCCCATCATCCACAAAGATTCACTTTTCGAAGGAAACCTATCTTTGATGCACGAATGTGAACATAACTAAGTCGATGTTTCACAAATTTATTAGCATATTAAGGCAAGTTGTCCTAAAGAAAGAAAAAAGAAACTAGTATGCTCCATGTCATCAACCGCGACTATCTACATTTTATATTGTTACCATCTTACTGAAATAAAAGGAATTACAACTAGTAACGCGCAAAAGTCAGCAACTGTTCAATCGTTT